GGAGTCCATTCTGACCCACAGCGCCCCTAGAGGACAGAGTGGAACTGCCCACTGGGTCTCCAAGGCTGTCAGTCTTCAGGGAAGCAAAGCCCAAACCACACCCACTGCTGTGGAGTCCATTCTGACCCACAGCGCCCCTAGAGGACAGAGTGGAACTGCCCCACAGGGTCTCCAAGGCTGAAATCTTTATGGAGGCAAGCTGCCCCATTATTTTCCTCTGGAGCGGCTGCTGGGTTTGAACCGTTGACTTGCTGGTTAGCAGCCGGATGCTTTAGCCATCACCGCCCCCCCCCCAGCTCCTTACAGCAACAGTGTTGGAGTAAGTATTAAAACTCTGATTTCATGTTCTGAATTACACATTTCAGTCTGTCAGTGGGTTCTTGAGGTAAGGAGGTGTTTTATATCTATAAAATGAGGTGTATGGCAAACTGTGACACTGGCCCATGTGCTGTTAGCTCACCGTGGCTCCACTGCTTTTCTGTTTCATGTTTTGAAGAAGAAAGAAGACTGGATATAGATGAGAAGCCCCTTGTGGTGCAGTTGAATTGGAACAAAGACGACCGGGAGGGCAGATTTGTTCTCAAGAATGAAAACGATGCCGTTCCTCTGAAGGTGGGCCCCCGGTGTCGCATGCTACTCTGGGCTCCCGGGCCGAGGTCTGAGGGACCTCACTGGGGTGGGGGTTTGCTGTCAGAGGCTGCTTTTCTCGTGTCTTCCTAAACCACCCTTCACCCCTTGTCCTAGAGAGTCATTCAAAAGTGGCCCAGTTCTTGCCTTTATCCTCTGGTTCAGGGCATGGGCCAGCATGGCTCCTCTCAGAGGAGTTCGTCTGCTTATGTTGCTCGGTGTCCAGGTCATCATCTCCAGTTTTCTGTCCTCAAATTATAAAGTCAGAGGCTGCTTTTAAAAAAAAATCAAAAGGGAAAATGACAGTGCAGTAGCTTGCATGTGCGTGAGCTCTCAGCTGCAGGGTTAGGAGGTACTCTGACCGCCTGCTGCGTGGTGGGAGTCCCGCGTCTCTGGGGCTCTGTGTGACACAGGGCAGGAGGCGGACTTTGCTGTCTGCACTGCTGGCTCCTGCTCGCTCTTCCTTGGGAGATAAAGGTCACTGGGCTGAGTCACTCGGCATCTTACACTAGAATCAGTATTGGTAAGTGTGCCGAGTGCAGGGACTAAAAGAACCGTCATGAGAACCATCCTGTACGGTATCGGACGTTTTCCCCCTGTGTGAGGGGGACAGCCGTTGCTCACTTTGAGCAACAGGAGCCTTCCTGTTGTTGTTGTGATATCAGTGCTTCCCCTGGGAGGAGCTCAGGTGCACACAGTGTGCTTCTGACATGCATTCCCGCTGGTTCCACACGGTGCGAGAGGGCTCCATGTGCTTCTGTGTCTGTAGTACGACTTGTGCTGCGGGCATCCTGGGTGATGTAGTTTGCTCTGAACTGTCAATTTCCCCTGACATGTTACAGCCTTTCCAGGACTAGTTCAGGGCCATAAGCCCCTGGAATGAGAGTGACAATAGTGACACCTTTCTACTCTCGAGTTAGGAAGCGCAGGGCCGTTTGCCGTCCCAGTAAAACAACCATTCTTTTCATATTTGTCTGGACTCCGTACCAGTCAATTCTGTTGTTACGTGTGAAAATAATTTGTGTTGGTGTTAATTGCTGTAGGTCACGTCTGTAGGTTGAAAGACAAGCTAAGAATAAGCAAGAAAAGAAATCAGATCTGGAAGAGAAGGTAGGGAGTTTCGCACAAACGCAGTACGTGCAGCTTTGCTCTGTGAAGGCTGCTTCCCAGTGGCTGCTCCTTCAATGTCTCCTTTGAAGTTGGAGTTCAGCCTCTGTATGGTAGTAGGTCATGATTGCAGCTCCACGCTGTTTCCCTCAGGGTCTCTTTCTTCACGTTCCTGTATGTAAGTCCCTTATGTTTTTCTTACTGGAAATCGGATTTGACGCTTCCCACCCTGATTTTCTGTTGGCTTTGGTTCGGTTTGCTTGTGTGCTTGCTTATTTTAAGTTGAGGTAACATTTGCACTCTGAGTGCCACAGACCTGGATGGACAGCTCAGTGCCTTATCGTTGATGTGTGTACCCAAGTCACCATCGGCCCAGTCAAGATAGGCAGCATTTTGTCACTGCAGAGGGCCCCTAGAGATGAGGTCGGCCATAGAGGGAGGTGATTGATTGTGTGTACTTGCCAACGTGGTGATAGTGTTCTTTTTATCAGAAGGCTCAGAGTAATGGACCTGAAAAGCAAGAAAAAGAAGGTGTCATCCAGAACTTCAAGAGAACTCTCTCCAAGAAAGAAAAGAAGGAAAAGAAGAAGAGAGAGAAAGAGGCGTTGAGGCAGGCATCTGAAAAAGAGGACAGGCCTCTCCGGCCGGACGACATGTGAGTTAAATGGGGAAACCCCCCTTCTCTGTACTCTGACCCTAGTATTTTTAATGTCATTAAATTAGCAGAGAAAGAAATCGAAAACGATAAATATCAGTTAAGAAATTGTGTGCATGCATTTGGGTTTTTTGTGTTGAGGGGACTGGAGTCAAGCAAGATTCCTTGGTGAAAATACCTGTCTCCATGTCCCCATAAAGAGCTTTGTACCCATAATCTTACTAGTCTTAAGCTAAGTAAACCCTTTGGTTAAAATGACCGTCTTTTTCTGAGTCAGCTCTGAACAGAGCAACAAAGATGGGCTGTGAGTGGCGGCCGCCTCTCCCCTTGAGCTCGGGCTCCTTTGTGCTCTCATGGCCTCGGGGGCAGCAGTGATGCTTGTGTGCCTGAAACGCACACCACCCCGGAGACCGGCTGACAAGGCCAGGCAGAAGGGTTCCATGCGTGGTTGTGCCCAGTTCCACCACTGCCAGGCCTGTCCTGCCGTGCCAGCCTCACTCACCGGGGCTGTACTTTATCTCCCTGAGCGGGTGACCCGAGAGCCCTGTGTCCACCACATTGGTTTCTGGTCGTTTTCCTCATTCCATCCACCATCAGTGCCTCCTCTTTCCGGCAGCCTGCTGTCACCTTGGTACTCACTAGATAGATTCTGTGAGGGACCATGATTGTCCTGCTGAAATTGAGTGATAGGCACTCAGAAAACTGGAATGTGGGGTTCTGCCAAAAAGGGGAAGGAAGTCCCTCGTGACCATGGTTCAGCAGGGAGTGATGCTTTAGCTTGTGTTTCTGTAAAAACATACTCACTTCATATGTTCGTATAGAGAGTTTTTAAAGAGAAACAATACGATGCTCTTTTGAACCTGGAACTTGTTGTCAGTTGACGTTTACGTTTCTGAAGTATATGTTTCCACTGAAGTATATGTTTCTCAGAACCGTTTTCACTGATGGTGCAGTATTCTGTCACATGGTCTCTCTTAGCTGGGGTTCTTGTTGGTGTTCCAGCTCTGACCACTCCTCTTGCTGTTTCCCTGGCATGCAGTAAGGAAGGAAGGTGAGCTGAAAGGGTTGGGAAGCTTTCATGTGTTTGGCACCACTACCCATTGAGATATTTCAACAAATGAATGCCCCACTGGAGGCACTCACTTGGTTATGCCAAGAGATTTGGAAGACAGCTACCTGGCCAACTGACTGGAAGAAATTCATATTTGTACCCATTCCTAAGAAAGGAGATCGCACAGAATGTGGAAATTATCAAACAATACCATTAGTATCACAAGCAAGTAAAATCTTACTGAAGATAATTCAAAAATGGTTGCAGCAGTATATTGACAGAGAACTTCCAGAAATGCAAGCTGGATTCAGAAGAGGACATGAAACGAGGGACATCATTGCTAATGTCAGATGGATCTTGACTCAAAGCAAAGAATACCAGAAAGATATTTACTTGTGTTTTATTGACTATGCAAAAACATTTGGTTGTGGATCATACCATATTGTGGATAACATTGAGAAGAATGGGAATTCCAGAACACTTCATTGTACTCAAGAGGAACCTGTGCATAGACCAGGAGGCTGTCGTTCAAACAGAACAAGGGAACACTGCCTGGTTTAAAATCAAGAAGGGAGTGCGTCAGGGTTGTATTCTTTCCCCGTACTTACTCAGTCTGTATGCTGAGCAAATAATCTGAGAAGCTGGACTATATGAAGAAGAATGTGTTATCAAGATTGGAGGAAGAATTATTAACAATCTGCGATAAGCTGACAACACAAGTTTGCTTGCTGAAAGTGAGGATGACTTGAGGCACTTACTGATGAAGATTGAAGAATACCATCTGCAGTATGGATTACATCTCGAGATAAAGAAAACAAAAATCCTCACAACTGCACCTATAAGCAGCATCACGATAAATGGAGAGAAGATTGAAGTTGTCAAAGACTTCACGTTGCTTGGTTATACAATCACTGCCAATGGAAGCAGCAGTCAGGACATCAGACGACGTGTAGCAGTGGGTAAATTGGCTGCAAAGGAATTCTTTCAAGTGCTGAAGAGCAAAGATGTCTCCTTGAGGACTAAGGTGCACCTGAAACAAGCCATGGTATTTTCATTTGCCTCATATGCATGTGAGAGCTGGACAGTGAATAAGGAAGACCGAAGAGTTGATGCTTTTGAGTTGTTGTGCTGGCAAAGAATGCTGAAAGTACCATGGACTGCTAAAAGAACTAACAGATCTGTCTCGGAGGAAGTGTGGCTGAAATGCTCGTTGGAAGTGAGAATGGCCAGACTTCATCTGACCTACCTTGGTCATGTTATCCCAGGGGACTATTCCTTGGAGAGGGATGTCATGCTTGGTAAGGTGGAGGGTCGACGAAAGAGGGAAAGGCCTTCAGCGAGATGGATTGACACGATGGCTGTGACGATGGACTCAAATATAGCAAGGATCATGGAGCTGGTGCCAGATTAGGTGGTGTTTTATTCTGCTGTACATAGGGTCGCTGTGAGTCGGAGATGACTCGACGGCACCTAACGGCAACAACAACCAGACTGCCACCTGGACTGAGTCTTCCTAACTTAGTGCTCGGCACTGCGGGAAGCTCCCAGGTCCCTTAAGGTGGCTGTTAGGAGCAGTGTGACAGCTCCATTGTCATTGACCCTCTCTTACTATTAAAAAGGTTCAGTGCCTTTCCAGTCATTGTTAACCATTCATGTGCTTCTGTTGGAATGATCTCTTTAAGTCTTTTCTCGTTGTTTAATTGATTCTGAGTGTTCTGTACAAACTGAAGATACGAACCATTGTCATTGAGTAATGTTTACTTAAAAGTGGAATTTGAGCACTGTTGGGAGGGCCCTGAGTGGGTTCAGGTAGCAGTCTCTTAGGGGCAATGCCTGCATAGTGAACAGGAAGTCTTCAGTGTAGTAGGAACCTCATGGAGCCCTGTTATGTGTGGCTCTACAAGAGAAGAAACTTGTAGACATACGAGGCTCATCTAGGAAGAATGGTAGGGGAAAGGAGAACATGCCCGCGTGCCTGGGATGCAGCCCCTTCAGTCTGTAGAGCAAGGGATGTGCGTGTCAGAAAACGTGCCATCGTTCAACTCGAAGACTTTAAAGCTTGACTGTTTTTTTTTAATCAAATTATTTTTCTGATTAAAAACCATCTTTTTAAAGCATATTCATCAGAGTTGAGTTAAGCCTGTCCATTTGTCCATCTTCCCTGAAGACCCAGTTCCCAGGTCATCTTTCTGTGTAGTTGGTGCCTCATTAAGGGACAGGTGGAACGTGTTTACTTTTGACAGCAACTTTAAGAAACTAAATGTTGGGAACTCCCTTGTAGATATTTAGAAAAATGATGTTATTTAAATAATCTGGGTTCCTTAAGGTTTACTATAACTTTAAGCAAATGTTTATTAAAATACTTATTCATTCCTATATATATATATATAGGAGCCTCTGGTAGCATAGTGGCTGAGGCACTTGACTGCTAACCAGAAGGCTGGCGGTTCAAACCCACCAGCCACTCCTCAGAAGGAAGATGGGGCAATCTACTTCCGTAGTGATACTGCCTCGGAAACCCAAGGAGGGGTCGCTATGAGTCGGGTCTGACTCGATGGCATATAACAACAACAACAACAAATATATATATATATATATATATATATATATATATTTAAATTGTGCTTTAGGTGCATATTTACAGAGCAGAATTTGTTTTATATTCAATAGTTCGTATACATTGATTTCACCCTCAATTACCATCCCCAGCCCTAGTCTGCTCTCCTCCTCCCCCTACCCCGTGCCCTGAGTTATGCACTTCTGCGTGTCCAGCCTTTCCCCCGTGTGAATGTTGTCCCTCTGGTGCCCCATGGCCAGTTGCTCTAAGGGATGTATCTTTGTAGAGTAGGTGGGTGCATCACCCTGGGTTGAGTGTTCTCCATTAAGTCTTACTTGTTGTTGGGCTGAGAGCCAGTCCTTGGAAGTGAGTTTTATCCCAGGCCAAAGTGTATCCCAGGGCCATAGTTTTGGAGGTCCCACCAGACTCCATCTGACCAGTAATTCTAGTCATTATTGTGGTTTTGGATTTTGTTCCACATTTTTCCTCCCACTCTATCCAGGATCTCCATTTTTGATCCCTTCCCAAGTCGTTGGCATTGGCAGCCAGGCACCATCTAGTTCTTCTGGTTTTGAGGTCTGTCATATTCTAGGGCTGATTGCGTCCAAATGCCTGTGGTTTTCTTCACTCTTCTTCACTTCTGACGAGAGGAGACCATCAGCTGCATCTCAGATGGCCACTCGAAAGCTTTTAAGACCCCAGTCACTATTCACCAATGGAACAAGAGTTTTATGTATTTTTTTGTGCCAGTTGAGTCTGGTGTTCCCCGATATGGTTATTTCTGTATTTTTTGTGGAATAACATGCATTTGCCCTGTTATAAGATCACACTGTTGAAATGACTGAAATATGTAGTTTATACATTTTTCTTTCAGGTTTAGTGAATATTCAATAATACAGTGACACAAACACACTATAAAATCGAAATGGTAAAATCAAGCACTTCATTTGGAGAGTACCCTACCTCCTCCTGGGTCACACTTTGTACTTTACCTTTTGGGGCTGCCTGGGACTTAAGTCTACTTATAGGTCTCGAAGCAAAACTGGGCGGTGGGGGTGGGGCTTGGGGGGGCATTCGGTGTCTTATAAGGCATCTGTCTCAGTCCTGCCCCAGCCAGTGCCCCAGGTACCACCCCAGGTGACATCTCAGACAAAGACTCAACAGACATTGCTGGGTTAACCTCATCCTCTGCAGGGGGAGGGGATAATGGCTTTAATGTGGAAGGTGGTTTAGAAGGCAAAGATTGGATGGAGAGGGCTGGTTCTGTTGGCAGGGCTACTTCCATGAAATTGAGGAGCTCGGTGTCCCTAGCTTCCTGATTATCCGCCGTTATGTTCCCATCTCCACTTGGAGGGTCTCCTTTCCTCTCAGTCAGTGTCCTCATTTTACCTT